CAGATGTTTCTAAAAGTTTTATGAATTTATAGAACCCAACATAGCGGAAGTCCCCCAAAAAGATAACATTGTATAATGGCCAAAGTATAAATGCCAAAGTAAGTTCAAATGCATGCGAGAATTGGGCAGGAACAGTCGGGAGATTTGGCATCGGAGAGACAGGGGCCTAAGACTGCTTGACTGTGCAAGAGGCCACCGCCTCACCTTGGTCAACACTCTATACAGCCAAAAGCTGTCTCGAACGATAATCTGGCGCTCACCTAACGGTCAAGTCTACAACCAGATTGACTTCATTCTAGTTCCCCAACGCTTCAAGTCCAGTGTCAACAAGGCGAAAACAAGGACATTCCCTTGTGATGACAACCTTTAAGCAAGCTGAAAACTTAAACTTTACTCTAATAACCCCCTCCCCCGCCATCAAAGTTGACCTCGAGAAGGATCCTAAAGTCGCAGAAGTTTTTCAGACCCAAGTTTGCAGCCCTCAACCTACTTGACAGCCAGATAGACACTCTTGCATTCGACATAAAAAAGTCCTACTCAAAACATCTGAAGAGTCTCTTAGAAAGCTACGAAAGAAAATTTAGCCGTGGATCATGAAAGAAGTCCTGAATTTGTGAGACAAGAGGCGAAATCTAAGAGGAAAGAAACGCTCGAATGCAGTGCCAAAACGTTCACAAAGAGGTCAGGAATAAGTTACGTGCAGTCAAATAAGAGTGGATAGACGACTAGTGCAGCGCCACTGATTAGAGCATAAAATCAGGTGGCAGCAAGACACCTACAATACCCTCAAATCCCTCACCAAGATCATCCAGTCAAGAGCAGCAGTCATAGATGACAAAGATGACAAGCTACTGACAAAGTGGAATTTTTGAATAGATGGCCCGAATACTGTGAAGGCATGTACAATTACGAACTCTATCCAGATTCCTATTTATTGCAAGCCAACCAATACCCCTGAAAGGGTGAAGACAGTCCGCCAATACTGAAGGAGGAGATAGAAGCAGCAGTAAGGAGCCTGAAACCTGGCAAGTCATCTGGAGTAAAAATTGCACCCTCTGAACTGGTGAAAAATTGAAGTTCCATTATAACAAGTTCTTCCCGTGAATCACTGCCCTTTGAAACAGACTCCCAAGTAGTTGTTTCTCCGAGCACGACAATCTTAACCTGTTCAAGTCTAGAGTCAGTCGTTATCTTCCCCTCCTATCTGTATAAACTAACCCTTAACGTAACCCTCTACCTCGGGTGGCCTCTGGGCCTTGTACAGGATGAACCCTACTGTAAAAAAATTAAAAATAAAAAAACACTGTAATTCGAACTGAACTCGGCTTTCTCATTCCTAGCCATTATCCATTACACCATCCGCACATCCAAGCTTACAACACCTGGTATTCCCAAGTGGTTCAAGTAAAAAAGCCCCAAATAAATATAATTATCACACAAGGAAAGTTATACTAAATTTCAGATGTAACTGTAACATCAAGTAATCTTGAAATAATGTGTAGAAAATATGTACAATACGAAAGTAAAACATGTAATTTTAATTTATTGGAGCACAGTATACTGTATTAAAGTTCCTTTCGAGATTAAAACAAAGACAAATGAATAATAAAATAGAAAATTCTGAATATTATGAAACTATTGACATTAATCTGAAAAACCGACTGAAAATTGGGTGTCACTTGACCTTCCGTAAAAGCCACATTTTAAAAGCTTTGTAAATTTGTAAATCGCATGTAATATTATCTTAATAATCAACTCTGATACCCGAGAAACCGTTGCTACAAATCGGCCTTCCTGGCGTAGGACCATCCGAGGCGGGAACCGAGATTTTCAAGTTCAACCGTCAACATGAGGAGGATCTGCTATGTGCTGTCAGGAAGGGCCAAATTGCCCAGTCGCGTCCACCACTCGTACTCCTCTGTGACTCCTGCTTACGACTCTTCAGGAGTAGGCTGGGCCTTCACAGCCATCTCCGCCACCGCCACCAGAGGGGAGAAATGGAATAAGCGAAGTGAATGACAATCATAATGATATGCGCGAGTGGCGACTACTGTCTTAATGAAGTCTAAGAAGAATATGAGACTAAATCTTTGATCCATAAAATTAATGTTTGTTCACGTTTGGTCACCGTCAAATTAATGTCGGCTGTGAAGGTGTGTAGTTTCGGAAACGAATGCCCCAATCTTCCTTCTCGCAGGTGGGACATTTATATAACTTCCAGTTATCTGGTGTGTGTGTGTGTGTGTGTGTGTGTGTGTGTGTGTGTGTGTGTGTGTGTGTGTGTGTGTGCGGTGCGTCCTAATTTCAGTTGGGTTGACTCCCTTTTTATATAGCTACTATCATCCTTTGAGGCTCGATTCTGCATTTGTTGGAATTCAGATCAACTTCTAGGCCAACCTCTGATGCGTCAAGCTCATTTGACATTCTGGTGTGAAACTAGGTGCAAAACTTACTTTTTTCTTAGTGGTGTGTTTTATTAGACCGATTGTCCCATCGATTTCGTACTGGTTTGCATCTGGCTTCTTAAGTATCACTATGAAAATGGATCTATTTAGTTCTGCTATATCACTACTCTCGTATATATCATTTAATATTTCTGTAATTTTGTCAATGTCAAAATCATTTAGGGATGCCAGCATCTCTATTTCAATTCCATCTGGCCCCGTTGCTTCTTTTCATGTTCAAATATTTCCTTTGCTGATTTCACTTCAGACTTGATAATTCTGATTCTTTTTTAATTTTTTCGTATTGCAGGTTTTCCTCCTCCGCCATGAAAGAGTTCTCCAATATATATATTATTTCTGGTTCTTTGATATTTCTGTTTATTGTGGTTTGTTCTCTTTTGTCATAAAAGCGTTCTCTGATGTATTTGTTTAATCTCTGAAGTATTTTTCTTTCTCTAATATCCGTGTCACATCCTTAGATTTTATGCATTCTGTTGATGAGCATGTCTTTTGTCCTGTTAGTTCTTTTATTCCTTTATTCATATCTGCTTTATCTATAATAACCATTCTTTCTATTTCAGCACACGTTTTGTTGACCCTTTTCACATTTGCATTTGTTCTGAATTTCTTTGTGCAGTGTCCTAGATACTGTGCCATATATTGGCATTGTTTTTGTATCCTTTTCATCGTGTCAAGAATTTAATCTGTCATTCATTTCTTTTGATTTGTCTACTTTTCTTTGGGACGATCTCGTTTGTTGATGTTACTAAAGCTTTTTTTAATGTGACCCACTTTGAACTTCCATTCTCATTTAGTTCATTGTATCTGCCTTTAATGCTATCCACATATTTCTCCTTCACATTCAAATAATGATTATCAAAGTTCGGCTTTGATTCCATTCTTGAAGTATTTTTCTTTCAATTATTACCCAAAAATGAGTCCATTCGTGACAAACACAATGAGAAAAAAACAACCCCTTTACTACAAATATCTTTGTGTTAAACGCCCGTGTGTGTGTGTGTGTGTGTGTGTGTGTGTGTGTGTGTGTGTGTGTGTGTGTGTGTGTGTGCCCCGCGAGCAGTGTTAGAATTTTTTTTTAAAACTATACCGACTTATTAACTGCCTAGACGTTAACTTTGGAAGAATGAAATTAAATTCTTCAAAGTCCCTTGTCGGTATAGATTAAATGCAGATAAAATCCTAATCAAATTCTTTGCATGATTTTAGCTTAGGATTTGAAAAGAAAAAAAAGGAAACAGATGTTTACATTTCATGCATCTGTCAAAGTTGATGAAGAGCTTTGAATAGCCATATTGACATTTGAAAAACTTGACACCAAAACCTTTCTAATTTTCGACCTTTCCATTTTTTTTATTATTTTTTTACTGAGAGTCACACACTTTTAGTCAATTTACAAGTGTAAGAAACGCATATGCATTATATTATGCAATAATTTGGTTTAACGTGTTTTCACGTCATAGAAATATTTCAGTGCTGCAAATTTGCTGTTGCTACCAACACAAAATTACTCAAATACAAGGCTGACGGCCAAATCACGTTGAGTCACCGGTTTTTGTAAGATCGCCGAAGTTAATCAACGTTGAACTGGGTCAGTATCTAGATGGATGACCGCTTGGGAATACTGAGTGCTGTAAGCCTGGATGTGCGGGTGGTGTAATGGATAACTGCTCAAAATTGGGAATAGGAGAGTCTTGTTCCAATTCCTAGTTCGTTTTATTCACTTACGCGCGGATACCCTTTGGAAATGTATGAATCCTCCCTGTTCCCCCCAGCTATGGGTTAATTAGTAGGACTTGTTTCAATAAATCATTATTATCTCTAAAACAGTCGTACAATATAAAAATATTTTCTGGCTTTAAATAACCTGCAAAAGGTTTATAAGCCGTAAAAAAAATCAATCAGTAACAAAACAAAGACAAAAAAACCTTCTTTCATTATTCATTTTACATTTTCATTCTTATATAATCCATAAATTGCCACATTTTGTCTTGTATTCTATATTCAGATTAATTTACATGTGCCCTCAAAATATCAGCATATTTAACTAATTTTACATCTGCATTGTACTTAAATAATATCAGAAATATGATTTCGCTATGTATTTACTTATATTCAATACTTCCTTAATATACAACTAAACGTAATATAAAATTAAGTAAAGCTATCTGTTGATCCTCTATCTTATCCCAAAGCGATAAATGAAAACAATCTAAAAATAAAACTAATTCTAATTTATACATACATCTAAACATTCCTTTTTCTAAAAGTTTATTTATCTACTGAGCCAATCGCAATTTAAGAGTTCCTTTAACACAATATTATAAAAGGTTCATCGCAACGCTAGGGGATTCATTACAATAGACGGGAAACTGGCTGGGAGATGATTGCTCCTAGATGAGTCACCAGGTTGAGAGGTCTGATTTATAAACGCGAAATCCCCAATGATACCAGGAATAAACATCACTGATGAAGCTTCCCGGTGGTTTGGATTATGATTGTATAAATATGTCATTACTTTTACGCTACTTGAAGTGTCTAGTGCTTAAAAATGAACAAATTGTCCGTGTAGTAAATTTCTCTAGTGACGAAGAGAAGTGTTGCATACGCAAAATAGATAGATAGATAGATAGATAGATAGATAGATAGATAGATAATGAAAAAACTGTAATAGATATGAACAACAGATAGATAGATAGATAGATAGATAGATATTGAAGATAGATAGATAGATAGATAGATAGATAGATAGATAGATAGATAATGAAAAAACTGTAATAGATATGAACAGATTGTGATAGATAGATAGATAGATAGATAATGAAAAAACTGTAATAGATATGAACAGATTGTGATAGATAGATAGATAGATAGATAGATAGATAGATAGATAGATAGATAATGAAAAAACTGTAATAGATATGAACAGATTGGGATAGATAGATAGATAGATAGATAGATAGATAGATAATGAAAAGACTGTGATATATATGAGAAGACCGTGATATATATGAAAATAGATAGATAGATAGATAGATAGATAGATAGATAGATGTGAACTGATTGAGATAGATAGATAGATAGATAGATAGATAGATAGATAGATAATATAAAGACCGTGATATATATGAAAAGACCGAGATAGATAGATAGATAGATAGATAGATAGATAATGAAAAGACTGTGATATATATGAAAAGACCGAGATAGATAGATAGATAGATAGATAGTGCGGCATAAATGCTGTTACAAAATTTCAAATGAATTCTACTTCTAAATTTTTGGTCATTACATTGTTGTTTAGGGTTGATACTTTGCGCAACAGTCAGTATTATTTGTTTTATTTTTTCAAAGTGATTTAGTGTTTACTGGCAACAATGTCTATAGAAATTTAAAGAAAGTATATAATTGAGCAACATGGAAACAAGCTTGAAAACAACTTTAGATCAGTAGAATGTTCATCAAAAGGACAACCGGTCGATACAGCGCGACTTCCTTCATTACCAACATAGATCGAAACTGGGACGTCCTCGCACCTCCAGAACACCAACGCTCATTAAATAGGTGCGTGAGAAATCAGGCACAATCCAAGGAAGTCAATGAGAAAATTGGCTAAAGAGGCCAGAACATACGTAGGCTATGTCGATATGATCTAGGGATGTTACCCTACAAGATAACCAAGAGACAGCCTCTTTCAGCAGCCACAATGAAAAACAGGCCACAAAGAAATATGCAATTGCTTGAACGGATTCGTGATGACACGCTGCAAAACATCATCGTCCCTGATGAGAAGCTGTTAGCATTAGAACTTTTTAAATCATCAAAATGATCGTGTTCTTTCAACAAATCGTCAGCCAGATCCTGCCACATCAGAAAAATGCCTCAGAACCCAGAAACTAGCATCAGTTATAGTTTGGGCAGTCATTTCAGAAAGAGGAAAGACTCCTCTAGTTTCCGTGTCTCAAGGAATAAAGATCAAAAAGAAAGCGTACATAGAGGACATCTTGGAAGGTACATTCAAGCCGTTGTGCAATGCCACTTAAGTTAATGAACATTGGGCACTTCAACATGACGAGGCACGAGCCACACTGCTCGTGTATCAGAGACAATTGTCCTGGATTCACTACCAAGGACGAAGGGGCTCCCTCATCACCAGATAGCAACTCTCTTTATCATTGTTTGTGGGCAGTTCTTGAGAGTGAACCTTATCCTACTCCGCACCCCAATACTGAAGCTCTGAAGGCAAAATTGGAGAGAGTATGGAATAAAATATCCATGGAAACTATGCGTACCATCATCAATGACTTTTCCGGAAAGCTTCGACATGTGATTTGAGGCTAAAGGGAACCATATTGAATGAATGTTATTTAATAGATTAATACGTATTTTGTGTTAAGATTGTATGCTGATATAATAATTTTTTCAGGAGGTGTAAGGTGTTTCTTTTGTAACAGTATATATGCCGCACCTTGTAGATGGATAGACATTGCGTTTTAGATACGTGGATATTTTTAGTGTAAGGTTAAATAAATTAATGCAAACAGATTTGCATTCTAAAACCATTGATCACAGATTTATTTTCAATACAGAAAAGGTTCAAAGATTTTGCTTTCTCTATAGCAGCTGTCAGCGGGTATCAATCATTTTATTTTCATTACTATACCTGAAAGTTATTTTCCACGCCAGTGACTGTTGAATATTTTATCAGACTAAACTTTAAAGCATTATTACCTCGAACTATTCATTTTTGATAGTGTTTCCTTTTGAAATTTGGGTTGATTTGATTTCTTTGTTTAACGATATATTATTACCTTAATAGTCATTTAATACCAAAATTTAATTTTCTTGGGAGCTTTGAAATAATAAAGATATGATATATGTTATTCTGCATTTATAATCGAATACATGATAGATGATACTCTACTTTTGGGCATATATATGTTTGTGCAGACATAATTAATAGAGGCGATTATATGTGTATTTTATGTTATCGTCTTTTTGAAGTTATATTTTGGAATACAGTTTGATTTCTTTAAGAATTTAAAGGATATTATATGGATCAATGTCATAAAAGATTTCTTTCGTGTTGGTTGGTTAGTTGATTTTGTTTGGTGGCATATCAACATCTGTATGGGTTTTTTAATGCAGAAATCTAAATATTTTGAACACAATTTTATGGCTTCAACCAAATATATTTTGGATCTAATTGTTAGTCATTTTGCTATCAAATATAATTCTACTATAAAATTGTATTGCTGGTCATTTTGCTTTAAAATTGTATTGTTGATAATTTTACTATAAATATATATTGTTGGTAACATTTTTTATACAAATATGTATTATTGGTAACTTTTTATATAAAATGTATTGTTGGTAATTTTACTATAAAAATGTATTTTTGTTATACCGGAACGTACCTATTTCTATTGTAAATAGACTCTCCCACAGATAATAAGTAGTAGTAGTAGTAGAAGTCGCCAGTGGAGCTCAGTGAGTTGTGTGAGTCAGTCGATGTCGGACATTAAAGTATGAGCCCCACAACTAGATTGCTGCGTCATTAACTATTATTTCAAGTTTCTAATGTTTTGTACGTCGAACCTTATTTAGGACCGACTTAGTGAAATACAAGCTTCCACTGTGAAAACTACTCTACAACAATTTTCATAATTTCATAGTGTTTTGTTTTTGTTAGGGAGTTTCCTATTTGCCCATAGGGGGACCTGAACAGGTGTTACCACCGCGGGTCAAGGTGGACCTAAGAACAACAGCAATTGTAGTTTATCGCCATACCCAGCATTCTTTTGAAAATTCAAAAGATGCTGAAGTGTAAGCGGTTCATAGAGAAACAGCAAGTAAAACACGTAACGATCTTATGTAAACGGATAGAAGAACCTGAACTCAAAGAAATAGTAATCGGAAAAGTATTACTTAGAGATACAAAGGGATAGAAAGTAATAGAGTGCCATGATCGCCGACATCCTGAAAGGATACGGCACATAAAAGTAGTGTATTTTCTTTGCGTATATACAGATGAGCTAGTAAGGGACGGTGCATACTACCCTCTTTAGATCCTGGGTCTATACATCTCTTCCTACATTATGCCCTACTCATTTGCAAACACGCAGGGCGTAAGCAGTTCTAAATAAATTCTGTCTTTTCTATATTTCTAAACCCTGTTCCGCCATCCATTTTCTCAAGCTTGTCGACTATATTATGCCTTGTCTTCCTCTGTCCCTCTTGCCCTCAATCAGTCCTGTGAGTAACAGGTTTTCCAAGCCCTCCTTCCTCATTATGCGCCCCAGAAATTTTAACTGTCTCTTCCTGATGTTAAGGTACAAGTTACTTTTTTGTTTCTATTTTCTCTAAAACCTCTTCGTTGCTCACATGTTCTGTCCATGGTATCCTCAGCATCTTTCTGTAGAACCACATTTCTGTTACATCAAGTCTCTTCTTCATCTTTGGGGAAATTTTCCAGCATTCACTGCCATATAGTAGGACAGATATCAGTTCAGTCCTCTTTTTTGTTGTTGTTATTTGTAACGAAGTTTTTCTATCTTTTAATACTCTGGTTAGCTTTTGAAATATGTCTTCGGATTTCAGTGTCGTTTTTCTATCCTCTTTTGAAGCACTTCCCAGATATTTAATTTTTTTACTTGTTGATTTTGGTATCTTGTAATTTTCATTTTGGGCTCATCCTTTTACTAATAACTATTGAAGAAATGAGTACCAATCATTTAATAATTCCATACTACATCCTAAATGAATCTACCAACAGAAGACAACAATCCTGCTTTCTATCTCGAGGCCAATGTAACGATGATGAGAAAAACTATGCTGATGTAGATAAGTATTCATAGTTGGGATAAAAAATCATCTTGAATAGAAATTCAACATCCTTACGAAGTGTTCCAAGCAATAAGACGCGAGATAAACCTTTCCTAAACAGAAACTATGATCTGAAATTGGAATGAAAGCAGTAAATGTTACGTACCTTGAATCCATTATAAAAATTTGGGATGTGGAATTAGTAAGTACGACATACTTCAAATACCCCTTCGCATGGATCAGTTATTACACATTTAGTATAGGAATTTGAACATAGAATAGGTTGCGCTAATGATAGTCTCACACAACACCGCAATTGCTGAAAAAAAAAACATTAACCTGAAAACACAAGCCATGTTCTTAAATAGTTTCACCGAATCAAGACTTTCATATGGATGCATGGCACCAAATCTGTTCACAAATATCTAAACTGTCTGCTATATACAACTGCGTTCTTTGAGTTAGTGAAACCTGTAGGACTTGACGAAAACCACACTTCGAATTTTGTAAACTGGAGCTAGAGAACTGTGCCAGATAACACAAACGACATCACTTGAGGACATCCAACAGTAGCAACAACTAAAATGGATAATACATGTAATGCGAGGGGAAAATAATGACAGAATCAAGAAGTTGATGTTCCATACTACTTCAAATAAAAGGTTAGGAAGGAAACGCCCATCAATACTGGAAAGAGCGATAACAGCTACTGGACTTGAGAAACCTATTTTCCTTAAGATTGTTTTAAGAGAAAGATTTGAAAGATTTCAACCAACTACAGTCCAAAATCGTCAATGGACACCAAATGTTTCCTTATAAGGAAACTTCTAATATTGTCATTACCATTACACTTCTACAGATAGATAGATAGATAGATAGATAGATAGATAGATTGGAAGAGATTTCACTGATCAATGTTGAGCTGATGCGAATATCAACGGTCATCTCATATATAACAAAACAACCCATAGAGTTACAAAAGCTTCATAACGTCGTATATTCTCCTAATTGAAACGGTAACGCTGAAAGAGTTGATGCAAATCGCCGTCGATAAATTTGAAAGGATTTTTCCTTTAAAAAACATCAGTGCTAACTGAATTTGGCTTAGACAAAAAGACAATGAAACTGTCATCATAAAAAGACATAGATAGATAGATAGATAGATAGATAGATATGAATTGATTGGGATATAAAGCGATAAAGAGAGAGATCTTTGAGTTCCAATGGACAGGTAGGGACGATTATTCTGTTTTAGAATTCCTTATAGCAACCACTTCATTTATTAAATATTCAAATGAAACAATTTGTAACAGAATCCTTACAACATAAGTTAAATGTGGGAGTAAAATTTCCTGAACATACAATAAGAGGCGTAGTTCCAATAAGGATGTCCCGGGTGAATTTTTCTCTAAAAATGAAATTCACCCCAACTACATGAAATTCAAAGGTTGAAATGGACCGAGAAAGAAAAAAAATGGACAATAATATATCTGATGTAAAAGAAAATATTAAATACGTTTTCATAATTTTATTTTGCATTAGCAGTATACACATTCAATATAGGATTTATGCGGATGTAAATTTAACGAAGTTGTTAAAATCATCTATGTTCAAGGAGACAGCCAAGTTCAAATACTATTAAAACTTGAAATAGCGTTTAAACGCGCGTCTCACTCGTAAACGAATATTGTTATTACTAAAAACCCTCATAGCATTTGCCATGACGTGAACTATTCGACTGTCTGCATTCCCATTTATACGAATCCGACTTCAAGGTTCATTCGTCGTAAAGATAATCGAAGGTACAAGTGAGTATCGATCACCAATGTCTCAACCAACAGGTAACTGTAACGTTTCATTTTATTAATAGAAAAAATAACAAATAAAACTGAGTGTGGTATAAACATACTCCGGAGCCTCAGTTTTACACCGACTGAACAAATCACCCCATGGAAAATTGGAAAATGTCCGGTAAATGTTCACAAGGGAATTAAAGGCGACATTAACGCGAAAGAAATGAAAAGGTGAATACTGTTTTATATTTGTTTATTTATCCAGGGATTCACTTAGCACATGGGTAGGTGAGCGACATTTTGGACAACTTCGTTAATTCTCTCTCGACAGAATAACGGAGCAGATCTTCTATCTGAAAAATCTGACTTTCTCTCCTGCCAACGCTATGCCCATCTCTCTATTATGACGCACGGATCGCAACTTCCCCACAAGTGGCTCAAAACTACCTTCCTCATTGTAATTGTGAATCATCTTATATTTGCCTGCGACCGGAACATCCTAACTTCCGGCTAAGTAGTACTTGATCCCGTATATTTGAATTTATTTATTTCTCTATGTTTGCGCTCAGCCAGTGGCTACCTTGAAAATGTCCTCCGTCGACTTTATTGTCTACGTATTTATAAAGATTACCAGACTTTGGATCCAGATAAAACAATTCACAGTCCATTTTAATTCGGGTAAAAAAACATACTGTAACAACCCCAGATTGATGAAATGTTTATTGCTGTACAAATTACGAAACTAAACAAAACCATCTTATACCAGGATCTAAAATTTATTGATATATAAGATTAGCTTAGTACAACATTAATTTTAATAATTGGAAATGGGGGTAGTAAGATTGGGTTACATCAGTCTTTCACAAATCATTATTGCCTGTCTTGAAAATCAGTATTCGTAATCTTGACATTTACATGGGCACGAACACTGAGCTCTTGTACCGAGTGGAAACGTGCAATTACCTCTACCCTGAAGCAGACCCAGGTGATCATTTGTATCGTTCATATTAATCTATTGCTGACTGCTTTTCCACACATTTTGTTTTAAAAGTATCCTTTTTATACATGTTTTTCTTACTAATTCTCAGAATCCAAAATTAGGCAAGTTGTTATTAATACGAGATTATCAGTGGAATGTTTATCTGTTTTTGAGTTTAGCAATTAATTGGTGTTGAAAAGAGTTGTTCTTTTACCTTTATTTCTTTCTTCACAAACCAGCTGGCTCAAATGCCAGAGAAACGTTCTTCGGTATCAATCTGTAACCATCTTTTTTTTTCTTTCTTTCTTTTTTTTTGTTAACTGATCTAATGTCATGAAATATGACTTCTCTCGATCAAACTGTAGATCTGTCATTTATATTTAAACTTATATTAATATTAGTTTCGCGGCAAGTTTGCCACCTTACAATTCCTGGACTGGATTTGGTGAGAGAATATGTCTCTCTTCTTGCTGATTTGATCAAATTAAAAATGATTTGTTTTCTGACGCAATTCCCAGTTTTAGTTTTCATTGAAACCACAACCAGGTCTATTCAAGTTAAAATTGGGCACATCGACGTGGTGTAATGGTTAGCAAGCTTGTCTCGCCAGACCACTTACTACTGTGTAGTGAGTTCGATCCTCACTGGGTGCCCCAAACTGTCTGCCTTGTGCCACATCTAATCCGCGCTTAGAAAATTAAAATAGGTTTAGCTTTTAGATATTTTATTAAAATCTATGAAATCATCATCTGGAAATGCTCAATTCTGGCTTTCCAGCCTTAATAGTGGTTGGGTGAGGAGGGGGAGGTTTCGGGTCGAGTACGCGCCGGCTCTGGATGGTACCATTTTAATAAAAAATGAATATGGATCTGTCATTTCTAATGATTTTAATAAAGTTTGTAGCCTATCTTTTGATAAAGACTACAGGTATTTCTTTTTACTTTTTTTACTTAATCTTTCTTGTTTTCATACAAGAGAACATAGATTTTTAAGACCTAATGCTATGGTATCTACACTTAGAGATAAATGTAACTGTCAATCATTTTGTTACACTCTTCATTTTTTTCTTTTTCTTGATATGGTAATGTGTTTTTTGTGTGTTATGGTGGTATAATGCACTAGATAACACACAATCGAAATTTTTCACAAAACAATATATAATTTATTATATACATTCAAAATGGCAGGATTCAGAATTGAGATATTTCTTTTTTTTCCGCCATATCATTGATTCTCGGGCGATCACCGAAGTTAAGTAACATCGAGTCTGGTCAGTACCTAGATGGGTGACCGCTTGGGAATATCAACTGCTGAATGCGTGCGTGTACGGCAGGCTTAATAGAAAACGTTTCGGAATTGAAAATCGAACAGCCGAATTCAAATTCAAGACCGGTTCGTCATATACACTTACGAGCAAATGAATTCACCTCTTCTTCACTCCCGCAATCTATAGCTTAATTATTAGAACTTGTATCAGAAAATCCTTATTATCTTAAAAAATTCTTACACTCTAAAAATATTTTCTGGCTTTAAATAACTTGCAAAAGTTTGATAAGCCGTAAAAAATAAAAACAATCCAATTCTAATTCTTTTCGAATTCATTCGTTCAGAATGAAAATGTTCACAGGATTTTCCAGTTGTTCTTTTCTTGTTCATTTCAAATTCATTTCAAATTCGAAACGGTGCACATTCTCTCCTGATGACCCCAGTTTAAAATTCGAGAGGAACACATCAAATTCAGTGAAGTCATATGCCGTAGTGAAGCTCGGTGGAAGTGTCATTGGCATGAGGAGCATTACACATTCAGCTCGCTTCAGGTGAGTTTCAATTACTTTCCAGTAATTTCCTTCTTCAAACTCATGGCTAGTCCGTTGGCTTTCAGGAATAGACTGAATGGCGGTTAGGAACAGAATAACAGACCCCTGGAAAGACAGGGTACGCTGGGAAAGACCAGATGATCTCACCGGGTCAGCAACCCAGAGTTCATTAAAGTACTGCTAAAAAGGAATATAAAAGGAAATGCCCTCAGGATTCACTGAAAGGGGGGAGGATGATGAATCCAAACGGAATAATCGGCAACGACCCCGCAATGAAAAACAAACCAGAAATTTCTGTGTGAGGAAAAGCCACAAATATTAGAACATGTTCTTAGTTCCTGTAAAACAGCCCTTGTCAATGGCAGATATACATGGAGGCACAATAGTGTTTTGGATGAGCTGGTCAAAATTATAAAGAAATATATGAAGTCTGAGTCATCTAATTCAGCCCAGGAAATTGTTGCAGAAGGGAAAAGATATGTCGGCTCTAAGCAAACAAGCAAATGTCATGCTATACCCGGAAAAAATCTCCTTAGTTCTGGTGGCATCTGGGAGGTATCTGCAGACCTTCCTGGTTGGCGTAATGATTACCCCAAAATAATATCAAGTAAAGGTCTGCGACCAGATATTGTTCTTCTGTCAAGGGTGAACCATAAAATCATCCTGGTTGAGTTAACAGTACCATATGAATGCCGGATGGAACAAAGCCACGTTTATAAAACTAATAAATATGAAAATCTAAAGTCAGAGCTAATAAAGGAGGGGTATAATGCAATTGTTAGAGCAGTGGAAATTGGAGCAAGGGGTTTCGTTTCAGGCACTTTGTACCAATTTCTGGGCCAAATTGGAATCAAAGGGCGTAATAGGGCCAAGAGTATAAAACGCCTAATAGAAGTAACAGAAAATAGTTCTATGTGGATATGGAAAAAACGAAATACTCCGTGGAGTGTTTCAGCGAACATGACGGCATGACATGACTGATCGTGAATGCGTAATGAGGTTCACGTTGCATTCTCAGAACGCGAGGTTTGCCGTTTTTCGGAATTTTCGTAAATTTAATTTCGCCGTTACACATTTGAACTAGTTTATCTACAACACTTGTATATCGTTATAATGGGGCCTCACATCAGTGAGGGGGGCCGGTGTGCAACTGAAACCGTTGAGAGAAAGGCCCCGAAACGGGGCACATTCTCTCCTGATGATCCCAGTTTAAAATTCGAGAGAAACACATCAAATTCAGTGAAGTCATATGCCGTAGTGAAGCTCGGTGGAAGTGTCATTGGCATGAGGAGCATTACACATTCAGCTCGCTTCAGGTGAGTTTCAATTACTTTCCAGTAATTTCCTTCTTCATTCGTTTAGACTGAAGATCGTTCCAGAATTTTCAGGCTTTCTCGCAACGCATTTGTTCAGAATGAAAATCTTTCTGGGACATTCCAATCCTTGCATGACTTTTTGCAACTGTTCCGAGTGCTCCAGTAATGACGGAAAAGACTGTCAATTTCCTTTTTCAATTTTTTTTTTTTTTTTTTTGTAATTCTCTTGTAGGTTTCCGATATTTCTCTAGCTTTTCCTTTTTACTTTTACTGTTTGGCCAGCTGGAACAGCGATATTCGATGACA